TATAAACCACAACAAAATTAAAACCAGGATTGGTTTAAAAGCCCAATATAATAAGATATCGGAGGAAAGAAAGTCTTCCCTACGCTCCAAAATTTAAAGTATTATTAATTAAATATTACTAACAGACGCGAAGCGGAATGTTGCACCTTTTGGGATACCAAATTATAGCAATGTTTAAAAAATATTACATTTTCTTAAAAAAAACTGATACAAATCCTGAATCTCAAAAATTAATATAACTCCAGGAAATTCATTAAAAATGATTACTGGGTTTCATTCGAAAATTTTACAAAACGAAAAATCCATTTTTCGCTTCATTTAAACAGAAGCCTAAAAACGAAAAAATGAAACAAAAAAACGAATTTCAAACAATCGTCTGCAGAAAAATAACAAAAAGTTCGTAGTTTTCATAGAAACTATTTACCGAAGCCATAAGTTATCTTCGGGTTATCAAAACACTAATAATTTTTCGTAATTAACAGATGGAATTGGTTTTTCATAAGTAAGAGGTGGAAATAATAAGACAAAATTAGGATTTTGTTCAAAAAATCGTGGTCAAAAATTTCAAAACTGAAAGGAACCTTTGCAAAACTCTGGCAACTTGGAATCGAAAGAATTACACTCGCAAGTTCAATATAAATATTTGGGTATCAAAAGTCTCCATTTTGCTTGCTTATAAAGAAAAGCAAATGATAAAAATTTAAAAACCTGAACCAAAGTTTTCAACACCATGAAGCGGATTATTCAACACCATTTGCGATATTACAGAAAAATATTTTTGCAAGCTAGCAGAAACCATGAAACAAAAGCATCTAATTCAAAACAAATGAAAAATTGTCTTTAAAAGACAAAGACCAAAATTTTATAACTTTTCGCGATCCAGCAATTACTGGCACTACGCCGGAGTGAAATAAGTATTCAGAAACATTAAGCGTGCGGCGAATCAGACTAAGCTGGGGAGGTAAACTATTGTCTTCTAAAAAGAAAAACTTAATAAAGTTCTGTAGAGTTCCTAATAGACTATATAATTCTGTAAAATTAAGATTTTTCCGACCATTGAAAATGGGTAGGAACGTAATATTTATTTTTATGTTTTCCACACAAAATCAGGTACCACAAACTATCATTGAATCGGGTCCCATCATCAAAATATATCCCTTTGAAGCCCATTTAGACGTAATTCGTACGACATTTAAAAACTTTCAAAAGTTGTCCCAGTGCCGAGAAAAACCGGTCTGAACCTTTACTTTTGAGTTTTTGGACTAATTTCAGCAATTAAAGCGATTGAGTAATATTCGTTGTATGAAAATTAGTCTTTTAGGCAAAAAAAATGATTGCGAAAAAAAAATTAAAATTGGAAGCTTCATTTGGAGCTGCTTTGGCAATAAACTTTAACAAAAATTCGAAAACAACTGTTCGATTATGCCTAGATTACTAACTTACTACGCGCGTGTACAGTTCTGTCATCAGGCCACGCCACGCACAAGAAACGACACTAATTTGATAACTGAGTTATTTGCCAAACTTTTTGTTGTTTTGAATGAATGTGGTTGGAACACTCTTTGCTACTTGCACAGCAACCGGCTATCCTTGTTTTCCATTAAATTTTGTTTTTTCTTAATTGAAGATAATTTTTGCAATCCTTTCTGACGCTTATGTTCCTTTTATGGTATTATAATTTCAATATGGACTTATAAATTAAAATTTGGACCTATAATTTCAAATTTGGGCTATGATTTTGAAATTCTCAGCCTACAAAAAAAAATTTATTTTTCTCTAAAGAAGCGTTTAAAGAAGTCCAAGCGTGAAAATAAGAAATGTCTTTTCACTTGAATAGTTCGTGTCTTTTCCTTTTTTCAGATAAGTCTCGCGCAAAAGTTAATGTTTTGCTGTTTTGGTTTTTTGTTTTTTTTTAGTTCGCATTTTTAATCAGCGTTTGCAAGATAAACAAGGATAGCCGGTTACTGTGCAAGTGTCACAAAATAATCCGAGCCTAGTCTCAATAAATACAACAAAGTTTTTTTTAGATAATTGTCGTTTTTTTTCGGCGTGGTGTGATAAAAGGAGCTGAATTAAAAACTAGAGATTGGGTATATTCGACAGTCATAGCAAAATAAACAAATTGAAAAACAATTTTTTCTCAGAAAAGTTACTTGGAAAAGGAAAAAAAACTTGTTTGCAAATTTTGCACTTTTTGAGGTTTTGAAAATTTTGATTCCAGAAAGGCGCTAACGTTACTCAAGTAAAACTATGTTTTTATGTTTTAAAGTAAGCTATTGTAAGCTAATAAGCAGTTAAAATAAGACTGCTCGCTTGCTTTTTTGGCTCAAAATAAGACGAAAAAAATGGAATTTTTCAAATCGGTTTTTCTCAACTCGGGTAAAAAAAATTTGAAATTTTTAATGTGGTTCGAATCACGACTGTAAGGTCTTTTATATGACATATCACTCATCAACCCATTCCTATGATAGTTTGCGGTAAACAAAAAACAAACAATTACGGTCTCCGGTTACAGAATAGGAAATCAAGCTAAAATAGAGCGTACATACGCAAATCAAATAAAAACGAAGACCGCCAATGAAAAAATCAATGATTTTCGAAAAATTTATGATCAGAAATAAAACACTCTTGAATCTCGATCTACACTCGCCAAATAACTTCAGGAGACATAAGCAGTAATCATAAATCAAAAAATAATTTTTATTTCAATTTTTCTTTTAAACATTTAAAGAGTTCGCTGTGCTATCACTTTGAACCAATTGAGAATGAAACTACTCATTGTAATTCTGTTACTAAGTTGCTAAAAACGAAATACAAACACTTAAAGCCGACAAATGTATAAACCAGAGAGCATACATCCAAAACTGATATTTTTTTCTTTAGAAACAAGAGTTTTATTGTGCAGAAAAACCCACAATGAAATTCAAAATTGAACTGAAAAAGTAGAAAGTCTAAAAATGAAACACCTGGCAAGTAAATTGACCAAATTTGGGACGAAAATAATTTAACATAGCCAACTGACAGTTGGAAAAGTGCTACCTGTTTTTTCAAAAAACAATACTTTCAGCTGGAAAAATAACTAGCTCCGGACGAGATCCAAACCTAGGATTTTTGCCCTCCCAGATGTAGACCTTAGCTCTAGGCCAGGTGTGCCGGAGAATCCAAGATGTTTGAACAAATGATTTAAGCCTTACATCAAAATTGTTAAGGTCACGAAAAATTTGATCATTTTTTTGTTTCAAAAGTGGATTTTATTTTTAAGATTTCACAGCGGAATTGAAAATTTACCTAATGATCCAGTTTTGTTAAATCAAAATTTTATCAAAAAAGCACCAATCAAAAAATGCTCTTGAATTTCAACGAGCTTAATGGGCATATAATTTTTTTTCCAGTTTTTTTCAAATTGGGTTAGTTTTATCAAAAATATCAATCTGAAATTTTTATTGAAATTCAAAAAGCTTAAAGGCTGTTTTTGGTATTCTGGAAATTGATGTTATTCAAAAACAAGTCAATATGTACGCTGCGATTAGCAAGGGTAGTGCAATCGGGTACTAGACTTTTTTTTCACAGGACTCATCTGTTCTGGACTTCTAAACTCATTTCTAGTGATACCTTGTTTCATAATTAATTCAGGTTTCTCAGTGTTTCTGGCCCTTTTAGCCTGGAGATAATGGTAAGTCTGCGACGCAAAGGTCTTTAGTTCGAATCTGACCAGGTCTTGTTTTTTCCAAACGAGAAAAATTGTGTTTCAAATAAAAGTGTCGGCCATTTATTTGTCGGTTTGTCTTTTGTCGGCTTAGTTGCCACATCTGGGTATCGTTGTTTTTTTTGCTGAGCTTATTTGTAATGGTGCTTTTAGTGGTTGATTTACTCGTAATATTACTTACATTGGCGTGTTTACACTAGCCAGCTTGCGAAGCGTAGTGTATTAGTACGAACCTTCTTTTGTGTTCCTTTTCCTTCGCCTCTGTGTTCCTTTTCTGTTTTTTTTTTGTTTTCTTAAAAACTTTTTTCAACACAAAATGTTTCTGCCTATTTTTTATTTGCTTAGTGACCTAATTTTGGGTTCTTTTCAAAGGGAACACAATTTAAACATTTCCTTCCGCACTTCTTAAGTTTTTTTTGCGTTTTTACCACTCGGTTTGTTGATTATTTTTTCTTTTTTCTTTCGGCTTAATAGACGGCTTATTTTATATCGGCTTAGTGGCCTCTTTTAGCGTCGTGTGATGCGCGAAAACGTTTTTGCGTGCTTATGTGTGTTATGAGGGGAAAGGGGTCGTAAAAATTTTTAATCAGTTTTGAATTTTAAAAAAATTTGGCTCGAAGAGTTTCTGCTCAGTTATTTTTGGCTTTGTCACCGCCTGGTTAATTTTGTTCCGATGCTGATTTTGCGTTCTTTTGTTTGGGTATGTGTTTTTCAGAACTATCTTGATTCATTTTAATAGATCTAGTTGTATGTATCGTAAGTGCTGCGAAGCTCAGTTTCGCCTCTGTGTATTTTTTCTGTTTCTTGCGTTCATTTACTCTTTTCTAAAAGTCTGTTAGCTATATTTTTAAGTTCAAATTGAGTTCTCCTTGAGCTCATTGACTCTTTTCGAATAGTCTGTTTAATGTTTATTTGATTCAAAAGTCTTTCTTTTCCTTAGAAAATGTTTCAAAAACTGTCAATCGTTGCTTTTGGTTTTCTTGAGCTCATAATCAGTTTTCCAAATGTCTGTTGGCTACGTTGTATGTTTGTATTTTTTGCTCTATTTATCAAATTTTGAAATTCTTCGCGAAATTGATGTAGAGGCGGATTCTAATTGCCTAATCTATCGTCTTACGTGGATGATTTCTTCGCTTTGTTTGTTTTTTTTCTCCCGAAAAAGAGGGAGAAAACAGTCTTTTAACGTCGATAATCTTTTAAGATGATCGTTTGCCTGGGTGATGTAGTAGTCTTAACTAAACTAACTATTTTTCGATGACCTGTTTCCAGCTTTAGCGTCGTCCTTTTGTTTCAGTGGCGGAAGAGGACACGCCAGACGCAATGTCAGAACTGAGTGGGATGACGTCATCCCTCGCGGGCGCACTGGGTGGGGCGGGGGTGAGGCGGAAGTTCCCACTGGTGGAGAGTCCAGTGTATTGGCTGTTCAACAAGACAGACCGCAGGGCCTTCTGCTTCTCCTCCAAAGTGTGTCTGGAGGGAAACTACCTGGACCTCAGAGGCAGCTCCTCCGCACAGCTTTTCATATACGTGCAATTGTACAGGCGGTCAGTACAAAATTTTTTCTTTTCAAATATTGTTATTGTTTGAAACGAATGTTTTCTATTTCCTCTGGCGTGCTGAAAAATTACTGCAAGTTTTTCTTGACGCCATTTTTTTGATAATTGACGTGCAATAGAATAGGCGCTCTTTGTTTTGAATTGGTTTAAGAGTGGAACAGTTGCCATCAGAGTTTATAATATTTGCTTTTTTAATTGAATGGTTTTAACTTTCGGAGCAGCCATTTTAATAGAAGGGTGTCTTCGGATAATAATACTGTTATCCATATCTAGAAGGCCAGTTTGTTATTTGCTCGCATTTATTAAATTTTCACTTCAAGGGTGGAAGTTTTTCTTTTGAGAAACTTTATTTGTATACGATTTCATTATTTTTTCATTTCGGTTTTCTGTCAACTATTTTTGAATGATTCTTTGTTTTTTTCCTGGAACAGAGAGTTCATTATTTTTAGTATAACACTAGTCAGCTCAAGGATAACATTATCATTCATGTGCGATGCTTTCGGAGCGTTACATTTGAGGAGTTTTAACTCGGGTGCCTCGCAATTAAGTACAAATATCATATGTTCAGACATTTCTCTCATTTATTCAAAATAATATAAATTGTGTCTCATTAAAAAACGACGTCTCTGAAGTGGAAGGTTCTTGAGTTTTCATTCAAACAACAGTCGTTTTCCTAATTTCGACGAAAAATCATTTAGTCGAAGTTTCTTTTAACTGAATGTGTAGTTGCGCTAGTAATTAGTTTCATTTTTCTGAAGTATTCTTATTCATCGATTACTATGATTTATTGTTGCGAATCAAAGTGAGTTTAGTTTTGAAACAACTTATTTGTGCGACCAATCACTTGATGCTCTTTTCAAGGTGTTTTTCACGACATTTTACGCATGCGAGATCAAGTGTCTTGTAACCGGAATCTCCGTCTTTTTTTTCATGTAAACCAACTTCTTAAAATCTCTGAGCATTACGAGCAGGGTCGCGTTCTGACTGACACGCTTGTTTTCCTGATAATTCAACAAACATACCGGTAGCAGGTAGTAACCATATTTTAGGTTTCGTGGTTTTCCGTCCTTATTTCGGCCGGCTCATTTCCGGTTTTTTATCATATACACTCAGTTTTTTTTCAAATAGTTTATAAGGCAAAAATATTGTGTTTGTGGTGTTTTAAAATTGTTTCAGAACGTATTCTACTTTCGAAAGTGGAATTTAATTTTAAACTTTCTAAGCGGAATAGAAAAATTCACCTATTGATCCAGTTTTCACAAATTGGTTTTTTTTTTTCATTTTGGTACCGCAGTAGGAATATTCTGATAATTTCATTGCATCCGGTTTCTCTTGTTTTTTTATTTGTGTGAAAAATTTCGTGAAATTCTGTGTAAAAAATAGCCTCATTCATCCGTCTTTATTTTCAAAAAATACCTCATAACATCATAACAAAGTTTAAATCAAAAGATTCGAAAATGGAAAATCTTGATCTTTTGTTTCTCTATCGATTGTGTAAAAATACAGTCTAGTGAAGCATATCACGGAAGTTGGCTGCTTAGAAGATCTGATTGCAAGATACGACTTCAATTCTGTAATTTTTTTCTTAAGTTTTTCATTTGCGTTTTCTGAGTTTCGTTGAAGTTTTTTTTGCAGTTAGGTTCTGCAGAAAATTATCGACATAGGTGCGTTTGATGATTTATGGCGTGGACTGTAATGGTGTATATGTGTACCTCAAAGGTGAGCTAAGTACCTGACTTCTTGAAGTAAAGAGAGATGTATGCGAGCAATGGTGAATTGCATCTTGTGCTACTGCTTTTATTGGGTTCGCGCGGGGCTTTCTTTTGAGTTATCTATCTATCTATCTATCATTTAAGGCATTTAGTGATTTAAATAAACCTTTCGCATTTCGATCACGCGTGGCCGCGCTCATCGGCAATTTGGGTCACATCTTGGCAAAATGGAATGTTGCTCCTTTTTATTGTCATAGAGTAGTAATTTAACTATAAAGGTGTATATCTTCTGTTCCGATTTAGCCCTGACATTTGGGTCATTTACGGTCGTAAAATAGGAATAGCCACGTTGATATCTCTTCTTCTAGCATGCTATGCTAGTGTTGTGCATGTGCTGCTCCCCTAGCTGTAGAATTCGCAGCAGATAGATAGATATATCATTGTCACCATTTGCAAATTCGAGGAATAAATGCAGTTGCAACATGCAAAGCAAACTTATATGAAATGAATGCTGTTTAATGGTTTGGTGTTGCTGCTTTGAAGCTGTTGCAAAAGACGCTCTCTGTTGATCGAGAAAAGTAATCGAGTTTGAGTAAAGTGAAATCCTAACTGTTTGATGAGTCACAGTTTTATGATTCTCGATTTGTTGATGGGTCTTGTGAGCGATTCCGTTTTACGATTGTTTTAATTGGGTCGTAAATTGTAATAAATGGGACAAAGTTTCAAAAGGTTGATCGAAATTAGAGAACACAGGTTTTAACCCTGAAATACACTTATGCAGTCCTTTCGCTTTCTAGTTGCGATATCATTTGTGTGGCACAGATTCTACTATTTCACTCACTATTACCAACTTCGAAAATAATGGGAAAAGCTACCAAATTTACTTCTCACCGTTATATTTGTTGCAAAGTTGATTATTAATTTAGTGCTTTAAGATTTTATAAGCAACTTTCAATTAAGTAGTCAATAGATGTTATCAGCTGGAATCTTTGCCAAATAAACTTTGCATCTGAAGGTTGTTCACACACAGATCAAAGCTTGATATAATTTAACTCCCAAAATCAACATGACCATGATGACAAACTTGTGTTTGGTTTCCATTCAATCCTATATTCCTGAAGCTGTACCCTAGCTGAAGTATCTACATACCATAAATTGTGCAACATTTCTCCTGGTAAGTTTTTTTTTGTAATTTTTGGATGCCTTATAAATACATGAGCTCTGCAATGATAGATTACTACAAGTTCAAATTTAAGCTAAATTTTAATTTAATTTATTTCAATGCCAATCGATCAGATGTTATCCATTTCTTTAATCAATTGATGACCTGAATATTTTTGCAAGCGATAACAAAATTTGTAAATTTCCATTATTTAGGTCGAATGCTGTTGCTTAATATCGCTATTTTTTCAATTTGAGAAATTCGTCATTCATTTTAAACCCGTTTTTCCAGGCGAAATTCAATAAATAAGGCGAACAATGTAGCAGTAAATTAATTTCGGATGTATGCCCAATTATTAGCTACGCAATTAGACATAATTAAACTCAAATTGAAGTTTATACTCCTAAAATGCCGTTTTTCAAGAACCACTTCAGACTAAATTTGCTTAGAAATTCAGTTCTAGAAATTTGGCCGAGATGAAATGATCTGAGATACCCTAATGAAAGTATCAACACTTGGTTTCAAGTGCTTGCCTTTTTTTGAGTTCTGAGAATGCCAGTTTTCACCATCCGAAGGAAGTTTACCATCTGAAGGAACTCTTTCTCGAAAGAACGAAATAAACACAAGTGTTTCATTTGAGTTGAGAAATACGTAACAAACAAATTGGTTGTTCAGCCTGACAATTTTCCTTAGCTCTGTAGTTTCTTTACCCTTGCGACAGCAAGGGTATTGTAATCGGGTTCTAGACTTTTGTTTTCCCGTGAACAACTTCGTCCACAGACTCATTAGACTCCTAGTGGTACCTTCCTTGCTTCAAGTTTCAAATTTTTTTAGTGTTTCTTGCACACTTAGCTTGGTTGTAACGAATACGCCTAGGACGGCAAGGGTCCTGAGTTTGAATCTGACCTGGAACAGTTTGTTTTTCCAACGGTAAATGTTTCGTTTCAAAAAAAAATCGGCCGAATAATTGTCTGTTTATGTTGCGTCGGCTTAGTTGCCTTATCTAACAATCGTTTATTTTAGCTGTAAACAATTTCCACTGCAGTTGTTTTCAGCATTTTAAAATTCCGACAGAATCGAAATTTGCTTTTCTCATTGGTTGTAGTTTTACCAAATCCAATCAAACATCCGGCGCATCTGGAGTAGAGGTAAAACAACTGCTTGAGACGTCAAACATTTGCGATTCGAATCCGGTAGGGCCCTTTCTTGCCAACTAAGAGTTTTTGTGCTTTTTCGGACTATCTGTTTTCGTCTCTGTCTGTTTATATTGTCTGCTTAGTTCCCGTAGCTCAATAGCTTAGCTTTATTGCAAGTTGCTGTAATCCCAATGCTTGAGAAGACAAAGCCCGGAAGTTCGATTCCAGTTGAGACCTGTTTTGCTTGTAAATAAAGAATTTTGGCTTATTTAAATGATTGTCTGTCTGCTTATTTTGTCGGCTAGTTTCCGCGCAGAAATAGTGTTTTTTGAAGGTAGAGCTTTTTTCTAGCATTGATATTGCTTCTTGTAAAGCTTCTTTTGGTGATGATGGTTTCGTCGTTTGGTACAGGATGTTTTTTGGCTTTCTTTGCAATTTGTCTTTAAAAAAAAGATTTTTGAAGGCTTTTTTCAATTTGATTAATGTTTTTATATGTAATGAACGTAGAAAGGACTTTTTTGAAAAATTGGATTCGTTATAGCGTTACCAAAGCTCTTTGCGAAGTTTATAATGGTGCAGGCAATTTTGTTCCGGGTGTTTTGGACTTTTGTTGCAATTTTTATTGACGAAAATGATTTTTTTTTTAGTTTTTTTTTTCGATTGATTTTCATAGTCATTCGTATTTGTATTGCAAATGGTTCGAAGCTCAGCTCCGCCTCTGTGTTATATTTGACACAGTTGGGAAAACTCAATCCAGAATGTGGAAACTGCGATTTTCAGGACCTTGAAACAATTAGTTAATCTTTAAAATCCAGTACTGATATATCATATAGCGTATATTAGATCAATTTTCTCTGTCGATGAAAAAATTTTCTTTAGTTTCTGAGTAAATGTGTCCAAATTCATCAAGAAAATGTAATTTAAGAATAGAAAAAGTTTTTTCCATGAGTTAATTTATTACATGCTGACAGAGGTTCA